TGTTAGTGTCTTTGTGAAAGGGAACATAATGTCAGTGAGACTCCTTTGGGAGCAGCTTTTGTTGGGAGGATGCAACTGTAACTTAGTTTTAAGATCGAAGGGATGAAAGGGTTAAAGTGGCAGTAAAGAGTGGACAAATAAAAAACTGATAGATTTGATATACTTAATGTTGGAGAATTTCATGTTATTTTTCATTGAAGGTGTTTCTGTTTTCTGTTTTTTTTTTCTTGATGCTGAAAAATATCTTGGAAATTAAATGTATGAAATGATGCCTCCCACTTTTGCACAGTACTGTATATGATGTACTTTTTAACAGGTAACATTGTCATACAGAGCCAAGCAATTATGCTGGCAAATACATCCCACGTAATATATGTATGTATGCATATAATAAACGTATATATACTGCAGAAAACTCTCTTTACTCTGCTTTACTAGAGCAAACCTTTCTATTACGCTTCTGTATTTGTACTTGTTTCACTAAATCATCTCAATTTAATGACCTCCCATACTGGACTACCCCCTCTCTACACCACAAAACTGTCTACTCTGTGTATGTTCAGCAAAGGAGACTCTCTCAACAACTTTGATTAGGTGACCAGTCATTAGAGCATCATTTCCACTGAGGAAAGACCATGTCTGTGTCTCCCTCCTTAGATTCAAGCTCACTGATTTGAAAGGTCAGGTAGTGCCAAGAGGCAATCCACTCATTGGAGGGACTAGTTGAATGACCAAATTTGGAAAAGCAGGATCAGCCCTGATGCTTTGAAGGCCACTGAGGAAATCAAGCGGGTTCCCCCACTTGGTTAAGCTTTGATACCCTTTGCAAAATCAGACATGACAACTTATGAACAGCAAAAAGGTGATAAAATTTAAAAGAACAAATCTCTGCTGTGGGGTCCAGCTACATCATTCCTAAAAGGAAAAATATAAATAAAATACAAGTTATGTCAAAAACTGTACTGTTTTCTAGGTATTTTGACTTGTTCGCTAAAAAATGATCAAGGATCACCACGATCTGACCACAAAGTCAGTGTGTACAACATTTGGCACACGTTTCATTTGAGACCCCACATCTATTATAAATCAAGGTCATTGTAAAAAATTTGCCTATCATTTGTGTTCTATTAGCTCCACAATGGTGCCAATGCTTGGACCCCAGTGATTACCACATGTGAGGTAAATTGTTGATGGTTATTAAGCTTTCATATTGGTTATGACCATAGAAAGTCCATTTTAGATGAAAACTAAATAGTAGCTGATTGTGTTGGTTGCTAACAATGATAATTTAAACATATTATTATTCTAAAACATAAATAAGTGGAATGTGTTTATTTGGCCATTCAGACGTGTAATAGAAATGTGACATCATAATTTTGTACTATCAGCATCATTTTGAAATACAGCAGAGTATCTTATTACAGTTAACCCTAAATTCAACGACTTCCATAACAGACACTGTGAACTACTGATCAACTTTGCCAACTAACTGCTGCTTTGAAACTTTGCTTTCGCGAAAAGTTTGGAATCACAGATGTAGGGTCATCATAAGTGCTACCATAATGAGCTGTATGTCTGCTGGGGAGTATTCAGTCCTCAGATGCTGACCTAAGCTCACTGACCATCTGGACTGTTAAGGCTCTGCAGCTAAGGAGGAAGTACAGCTATCTTTTTTTCTTCTCCTACACAGCCTTTAAACAGAGCTGAACTCACGAAGGTAACAGGAGGACAGCAAAGAGAACAAACTAAGCTGTGAACACCGGGAACAAATGTGCTCGCTATGGCAACTCAAGGTTTCGTAAGAAAATTACATAATGAATCTATAATGGAACACCTTAGAACAGCTGCTGTGTCCATGCAGAGACAAACTCTTTCAAACATCCTTCCATTTCAATCTGCATTCGTACTGTCAATAGTGTGATTAGAGACACTGCTATGATGAAAGATCCGGATGAATATAGTGTTACAGTAAATTTATTCTCTCAAGAAGATAAATATTGACATGCACTGGCTGATTGTAGATGTTCTGTCCACATGTTGGCAACAAGCAGGCATTGCTTATGCATGTGCAGGATGCTTACGTGTGGATTTGCTGCTGTTTGTATGTGTACGTGAGGATGTGCATGTGCATGTGTGCAGCCATTACTGACGTGCACTGGATCAATACGGAGAACGGACATAGAGCCGGATGATCAGCTCTTTTACATTCTACATGTGCCTGCCTCCCCCACATTCTCCATTTTCAAATGATTTTCTCTCTATCCTTCTCATAACTCCCCCTCACCTTTCAAATATGCCTCACTTCTTTGTTCTATCTTTGTCAATATTTTCATACCGGACCTCTCTTTGTCCTACTCTGAGTCCATTACTGGGTGCACCAGTTTTGCATAAGTTTGTACTTAAGCTTGTGCTTAAGTCCTTAGTTATCGAGGGTGGCTGCTAGTGGTAAAAGAAGTGAGCCAGCAACCAGAAGGCAGTGGGTTCAGATCCTTCATTAAGGCCTTACATGACTTTGTGGAGCTCTATGACACTACAGCCCTGTGGAGCCCTGTCCAACACACTTAAAGCGGACCAGTGGAGAACCCCTGGGGCCTTCTAGGCCTCCAGAAAACATGGAATGGAAAATAAATAAATAAATTTATGCCTCTAACTTTGCTGCACCCAGTGTAGTTAGGTAGCAAAATGACAAACTTCCTATGGAAGATCAATAGCTAACAGTACCCTTTTACTAATTTAAAATTCTGCCCTACAAATGCTTAAGTCATGTGTTAACTAGCAAGAATTAACCTAACTAACCAGTAGCACTTTAGAGCATTTCTATTGGTCCATTTGTCATGAAATTTTCACACAACGTAAAGGACAGCTGGTGAGTTAGAATGATGCAGAAAAATAAAAATCGACAAAAATGGAGATTCTTTGGACAGCGACGATATATAACTTTAACTGAAACATGTAGGTCCAACGCCAGAAGGTCCAACAGGGCCTACACATGCTTTTCTTCAGAGCGGTAACCAATAAAACTGTCTGCCTTTAATGAGTCAAATGTAGCATCTTTTTGCTTTGTCCATCAAAAGTTAGCCACCAGTTTCAGAGAAACCGTTCAGCACTCGTGTTTTCTGTGAAAGTCTCAAGAATCTAATGCAAATCTCTCTATGACAAACAAATGAATCTGGGTAATCCTTCTAGCGGGGAGCCCTGTGGGGCTCTAAGCGTTAATATTTCCATGCAACAATCGAATGTGTACCATTTTAAACAACAGTTTCTGGCTAACCTACATAACAGCAGCATCAGTTTAGACAGTTCGGGAGCAGTTGAGTCTCACTGAACTGGTGCTGTGGATGTTCGTTTCATGTTTGGAGCTGAAATTTAAAACCAGAAATTGATTTCTCAACACTTAAACCTGCTTAAGGGTCGGTGTACATATTTAGCTTAATGTAAAAACTAGTTTGTGTGGTGTGAATCACTTAGATTTAGTAATATGTAAACCTGAACTGAATAAAGCCTTACATTACAACTAGCATATGTTTGACCTTATGTGCCCCAGCAGACCAGCAACAGAGCTATAGTCCGTCATGTTTTACAGGTCATTTGCAGCCTGAGCAAATCGCCAGGGGGGAAAAAGCAAGCCTCATTTCACACAGAGTGCATCAGACACACACACACACACACACACACAAGCTGCAGAGTCATATAAGGTCGTTACTCTGCTCACAGAATCTCTTTGACTCCAGAATCTTAGTGCATTTAATGAACACTCCAGAGTCTACAAGACCAACAGAGGCTCTACAACACTACGGGCTTGTCCACCACACTTTACACAATTTTCCACTGTAAAACAAGTGGAGATCAGCCAAGACATGTTTGCTACTTTAGTTTTGCACTGGAACAACAAGGTGAATGTAGCTATCAAGCACTGAAAGCTTATATTCAAATAGCCCCATGCAAAAGCAGGGTCTGAATCATCATATGTGCCTCAAGTTCTTGCTACAGACTTGCTTGTGGTTTCTTACATTGCAGGAGCAGTGAGGAACCATTACGGCTTTTAGGAAAAGGCTGAATGATTTTTGAGAAGGAAAAGAAGTGTAATTTTCCAATTCATTGTCATTAAAAAGAATCATCATGCTTGCTGTAAACTCTGCATGTATTGTAGTAATACTCTTATTATATGATTCATTTTTGCTTGGAATCAAAAGGGTTAGACTCGCGAAATTCCCAAATAAAACCAGTCAGTCAGGATGGTTTTTCTCCATGCTATCAAGGTAGATTCAGACAAGTGGTCTCTCCTATTGGTTAGGCCTTCAGGAGCTAAACTGAAGGCCTAATGTGTCAGATTAACCATTAATATAATTAGGAACTGACAGTGGAATCAACAAATCATGTTTGGATTTCCAGTGGGTGGGACCAATCTAGAACCACCCAAAAAGTTCATGTGCCCCAGCAATAGCTTAGTGCTAACAAACTATTCAAAATCCCATTTAGGTGCTAGCAGAAATTAGCATAGTAGATGGTTTTAAGTTTTGACATTTATGGTTCGAACTAATTCTAAATCTAATATACGAGGCAACAACACAGAAAAATAGCTTCCAGCTATTCTATATATTACAACATAGTTCTATGTGGGGTATCTGCAACTGCCTAATTGCTTCAGTGCAAAACTAAAGAAGCAAAATTTAGATCTCAACCATGTCCTGGCAGATCAATTACATTTGAATTGAACTTTTGAGGGAAAAATTGTGTCCATTTGATTCTTTAGCAAACTATTCATTTAAGTCTATCTGAGCCCAGCCCTCCAAAAATAGGGCAAAGAGTGAACACTAAATGCTAATTAAGATGTACAGTGGCATGAGAGCCATGGTGTTTTACCCTAGTACTGATGATCACATCATTTTGTTGTTATTCCCAAATTACATTTCACTATATCCCCCATAACCCACCCATCAGAAGATTCCGAAGCTGAAAGTTTAGCGAATAGAAACAATGCAACACTCAGAAAGACTCACATAATACTTGTCATCATCCTCATTGTAAGCCAGTTTGACCACTCCATAAGAGCCCTGCAGAAAAAGCAGAAAAAGAGTGATAGAAAAGCATCTGAGGAGAACAAGAAATAACAAAGAAAGCAGCTGGGATTAGACTAAATCTTCAATGTGAAACCAAAACTATTCCTGCCTTGTAGTCTACTCTTCAGCTTCAAAGTCAACCTGAAAATAAAATGGACCTGTTTTATCTTGCAGGTTTATCCCCCTGGTCATGTCATAGCGAGCGAGAAAACAAATAGAAAGAAATATTCTTCATACTTTAGTTGCTTTTTACATTCTGACAAATTTTACTATGGATATCATGGGCATGCAAATTTTAATGAGTTAACGAGGACAAAATCAAAGTCTCTGAATGATACATTAGGTAACGATACATTAGTAGGTAAGACTAGGGCTAAGCAATTTGGGGAAATTATATAATGCCTTTTCTTGCCCAATATTGAGACTGCTATTGCAATTATTTTCAGTTAATTATGGTCCACACTAAAGATGTATTCGAGTATTCAGTTAACTGTTTGATGTGCCAGTATTCAAATATTAAAATTACTTTTGGGTACTCCTTACATTCTATCACAGGAAGACACAGAAACGCCACCAACTTCTCTGGGCTAAAGCTCATCTGAGATGGACTGACGTCCATCCTTGTAATTGTTTTTGGAAATAATGGATGTCACATTCTCTAAACCAAAGAAGAAAATGACCATCTCAATTGTTACCAATGCAAAGTTCAAAAGCCAGCATTTGTCAGGGTACTGAGTTGTGTTAGTTCTAATGGCTTGGGTAACTTGCACATCTGTGAAAGCACTATTAACGCTGAGGGGTATATACACGTGCGATTTCAATATAAAAGCAATTATTATTTTAGTCTTACGTAAGACAAGCTTAACCCCTTAACATTCCTGTTTACATACTAAGGCTTATTATTCAGTAACTACACGGGCTTCAATTCAAACTAATGAAGCTTTTCTCAGGTTATAGAAGTGTGTAATAAAACTTCGGGCCTGTCAGCTGGCCCATGACTTGGTAAGGGGTTAATATATACTGTGTACACTATGAACTATGTTTGTAGTCTATAAATAAAGAATTCTTACCTTTCCAATTTCACTCTTCAGTTTGTACTGGTTAAGCTGGATGCAGTCCTGAATATGAGACAGAGAGAGAGAGGGGGAGAGAGAGAGAGACATTAAACTGAGCTGACATATTTCTTAGCCCAGTGGGCGGTCGTGTGATTGTGCAGTGAGGACGAGTGTTGTGTTTGTTATGGAAAGACACAGAGGAACCTCATGTCCGCTTCCATACAGGCCTTATTATAGCAACATTAATGGTAATAACAGGCCCAGAAAAGTCATCATGGCTCAAACTGGCACTGTCTCAATACCATAGCAACAATTACATGTCTTCAGAGACAAGGAGATTCTGAGAAAGGAGGGAGGGGTGGCAAAGCAAGACATTCATTCTACCACTTCTAATTAGTGTGTTTGCCTACTCCCATTGCTAACACACATCAAATCAAGCATACACAATCTCTTTACACAAACATCGGCAGGAGAAAGGATGGTACTGATAAGCTTAGTCAACCACGCTTCACTGTCTGGCTGTCTGACGGATGAATCCAACTTTGGTGGATATCAGGAGAACACGAATGCATGGTGCCAGCTGTAAAGTTTGGTGGAGGAGGAATAATGGTTTGGGGCTGTTTGGTTTGGTCTCGGTTTGGGGGAGACCCTTTCCTGTTTCAGCATACACACAGAGAGCTCCATAACAAAACTGTTTCCTGAGTTTTGTATTAAAGAACCTGACTGGCCTGAAGTCAACCCTATCCAACACCACTGGGATGAACTGAAATGTTGACTGTGAGCCAGGTTTTATCTCATGACATCAGCAGACCTCACTAACACTCTTTTGACTTTAAATGGGAAGCTTGGACGACAATGTAAACAATTATGCAAAATTACTGCGATAAAAGATATTATCGTGATTCAAATTCAGTAATGACGTACAACTGTGAGTGTTACAGAGCTTTACACTATACCAGGGGTCGGCAACCCAAACGTTAAGAAAAGCCATTCTGTCCTTCCAACAAAAATCATACCACCCTGGGAGCCACAGCATTTTATGTCCATTTTACCATCTTGGCTGTAAATATGTCTCAGTATGTGCTGATGTCCTAGCATAGGTTAAAAAATATAATATGAACAAAACACTGACTTACTTTCCTCTGCTTTTAAGCTTTAGCTCAGCTATAGCCACTTTTCTTGCATCTCTGGCAGGAAACTTCTTCTCAAAAGTTGAGTAGTTTCTTGTAAAATGTCTCTCAACGTTTGACTTTTTACCAGGCTGAAGTCGCTTCTCATTCACAGTTTCTTGTTCAAATTTTCCCGTTCTTCCTTAAATAGTGCATGAGCTGCCAGAATGTAACTGCTGCCCCATTTAACGTGAAACATGGAAATTCGAACAAGAAGCTTACTCAAGCCTCACGACTTTTTAGTGTTTGACAGCTTCTCGTTGCAGATTAAACATAGCAGAAAACCAGCTGGAGTGACTATAAACGCAAATAAGTTAAATAAACTCTAAATTATCGATGTTTGTCTTAAATCTTTCTCTTTGCCTTTTCATTAGCTACTACCTAGGAGAGATTGGTGTCTGCGCTGCTATGTGACCAGCAGTCTGTGTGCCAATCTTCAGGGTTAAAGGGTGAATTAGCAGTTTTACATTCAATACAACTCCAGCGCTTAAGACCATTTATTGTTAAAACTGTCTTAGAACAATCAGCAGAGCTTTACTGCAAAGGTGGATTATTTTATTTTTACCTAAAAAGCTAATTCTGCTGTGGATCTACAACAGGGCTGTGAAAGAGCCGCATGATGCTAATGTATTTACCATATAATTACTGAATGGACTAGCTTTTACCATTATCTAACTATTTATAATGGTAACTATAGTCTACATAGATGGCATTTAACCCTGTCAACATTTAGCGTTTGTTTGATGGAAGCCAAATTATTGCCAAACTGGCATGTTGGCACCCTTCGTTTGCACAAGCTCATCTATATAAGCTATATATATATGTTATACCATAAACTGTTTTCCTTCTATAAACTACTTTTCTGTAAAGCTGCTTTGAGACAACACTAGTTGTAAAATGCACTATACAAATAAATGTTGTTGTTGTAGTTATGTTCTGTTTGTATAGCCTGTAGTCAAGTGTGATCTTTTCTAATACATACATTTTTTAAGTGACTATAGATTAGAATGAGGGCACAAACAGACAAAAAAATAAAAATAAAGGCAAAGAAACAACAACAACAACATCAGCAACAATAAAATTACTGTGATATTGACTAATGTGAATGATTGGTCTATGACTAATAAATGTTTTGGAAAGAGATGTTCAACAAGCACATATGGATGTAATGTGCAGGTGCCTGTGTATGTTCACATCATGATATTTGACTTTAAGCACTGCTTCATCAGTTAAGACGCTGTTCCACAGATAGAAAAGTGAACACACAATCGCGCACACAGAAAGAGAGAGAGAGAGAGAGAGAGAGAGAGAGAGAGAGAGAGAGAGAGAGAGAGAGAGAGAGAGAGAAAGAACAGCACATTAATAATATATAATGCTGTGAGCTAATGTATCAGATGTATAGTCATCCTGTAAATACACTGGAGTAAAGGCAGCAGAGGTATTTCACTTTCACCCACTGACCCTCACACACACACACACACACGCACACACACGCACACACACGCACACACACGCACAGAACCGTCACACCAACACTGACACATTCACACTCACTGCAGCACACACATACACGCACAGAACTCCATACGCATCAGATCATCCTGTCTGGGGTAAACCTGACCATCCACTTGTTCTGTTTCTTATTTGAACAGCTACCCATCCTGTGTGTCTGATGCTGTTGCCTCGCCTGCCTTGATCGGGACCTGCTTGACCACCATTGAGCTTCATGCTGAACAACACTGTGCAAACCTCACCCTCACGAACTGAGTCTTGGTTCCTCTCAAGGTTTCTCCCTCCTGCTCTTAGGGAGTTTTTCCTTGCCACTGTCGCCTCTGGCTTGCTCATGGGGGGTTTGGACCCGGATTTTTTTCTGTAATGCTGATTTTTTTTCTGTAAAGCTACTTTGTGACAACACCTGTTGTAAAAAGCCCTATATAAATAAACTTTACTTACTTACTTACTCTAAAGTGCTGAGCTGTACACTCTCTTTCTCTATGAGTCATTTCAACTTTAATTATATAATTATTTAAACTTTATTTATACTTAAATTGTCCACTTTGCTCCACCATGAGCACTGAGGTAAACCCGTGGAAAAGTCTAATGCACATTTCATCAACAACTGCCCACCTCTGGTGTTCTGATCCCTGAGTGAGACTGACTATGCATGTTCAGTGACTGAGGTTGGGGCAAGCCTTAACATCTCCCCTTCTCTCCTAGCCTAGGGCCCCTCTGGGCAGGGTCACTGTGGTGGACCTCGCCATAGGGAGTCATTCCTGACGGGGAAAACAAACCCAGCACGTTCACTGTGAACAAGGGAACAAGTCCTGTTGATTCGGCCTGTTTATGGACGTACAGTGCAAAGTTAGTGTTACAGAAAGTAGAAGAAGTAATGAGGGGAATTAAATGCAGAGAGGATTCCAGTGTCAGTAAACCGCAAGATGGAGGTTGGTTTGTTTGTTGTTGCCCCGGTTCAAAATGAAATCCACTGTGTGTGTGTGTGTGTGCGTGTGTTTAGTCATAGAGCTGTGAGTTGCTGGCTGGCTGTCTCTCTGTCCCTATTAAGAGTTTTGAACCAAGACTCAAGACTGAAAAAACTTTCTTAAAATGACCTTCCCAGGTCAATAACTTCAGGACTGTGTTATTCATTTTATTATATAATCATGAACTTGCATCAGCCACACAGTTCATTACAAAGTTCAATAAAAAAAGCATTCACTTTATAAGGATATTTTTCCACTGAACCCAACACTGAACCCAACATGAACCAACTAAACTTATGGTTCTGGTTCTAATTCACTTTGCAACTGCCTGGGAGACAGCCGGAGCCGTTATAATAACCAAGATTAATAATTTTTGCTCATTTAAGCATCTAATATGGCTAATTAGCTACGTTGCTTGCTAGATAGCATCCCTTATTGGCTGATGTGAAACAATATACTGCACTGTTCTGCACACTTGCGCAAACTAATGTCTACATTCATACTTCATTAATTGCATTAGCTTCTTATAGCTTATGTCACCTTATTTCAAACTCTATGCAAAGTAATAACTCCAAAATTAACATACATAATAACATCACCACACTGTCCTACATTCTGGTGCTCGTATCGGTCGAGTAAAAGTGCTTGGTGTCTTTATCTTCACCTGGAAGAGCAAAGGATTTGCTGAATCGTCGTTCACTGGGATAGCATCTCTACTTGCTTTTGAAAGCTGGAAAATGGGAAATACTAAGTAAAACATTTCCTACTGTGCTATGTGTGACATTACAGCCTCAAACACAAAAAGATTTTACTATTATTGGCAACGTTTTTATGTCTGTTATGCTTGAATATGTTGTAAATTGTGTTGTGAATTGAGCCGCTTCCATGCTGACTGGACGCAAGTTATCCACTCAGGCGTACAGCCAAACATGTTTACAAACATTCTGATTGGGTCTATAGATTGGAGTCAGAATTTAAGGACATACAAACTGTTCCGCATCTAATTCATGAAACTTTAGTGCGACGTGGAAACAAGCAGAGATTTGAGAGCAAATGATGAATCAGCTTCAGTGCGTGAAATCAAGTGCCAGCCTACCAGCACCTCCTTTACATATCATTTACATGAAGCACGCCCTAATTCACGCAGAGGTTTTGGTAGGAGCCAACAAAGTGACAGCCCATGGGTCAGTGGCTGTGCTTGGTGGTGGAGTTCGAGGTCGAGCAGTGAGCGCACTGCTCCCCTTACTGACCAAACTTTATCGGGTTAAAATTAAGATGATGAGAACGTATGAAATGTGAAATAAACAAAACGTCTTCGATTTTTTATTTTGGTAAAATGACAATTTTTCTAAAATAACATATTTAAAAGCTGTATTGTTGCAGCACTTTGTATTGTTTATGTTTTGGGCAGAGT